CATTTGAACTTATTTTTAATTTGATGCTTGATCTTTTGCATTTGGAAGGCCTGAGGTTAGCACAAACATCGTTGATGCATGCTTATATCAAATCCGTCAACAATGTGGCATTAAAAGTAATTTGGAGCAATGTAAATGTAACTGGGTTATTTCAAGTAAGTGATCATGAAGACACTTGACGTAATCACATTACGAATCCACTATAAGAAACCTGTTAGACAATAATTATTAATAAGCAAATATCTAGTTCAATAAAATATACCATGTCCACTGTCTGAATACTTTTCACAATTTACTGACATCTAGTACTAATATAAACCAACATTCTTAATGAAACCATAATATGATAAATTGCAATAAATTCAGTATTCCACAACCTTGATTTCATTTAATGTCATTTACTGGCCCTACGCATTTTCCAAACTGTACGCTAAAATATTTTGCTGAGACGAAATCGGGATTAAGAGTTGAATTCTAATTGCTTCAAATTATCCAACGTTAACGATTGCCACCCTGAGTTATGTGAGGTCCTAAGCCGAATTCTTAAAGTGCGTGATGGATTTTGAAAATGCTCTTAACTACGTTTATGTTTGTGATGTAATTTAGGGCAGGGATTTTGGGCGAAGTGTTTGATAAGCGTTTATTTGTCTGACATCTCATTACTTTGACTCAAACGAGACTTCATTCAGTGCAAATTTTGCATTTGTAAATGCAGCTATGGTTTTCCCTAAATTTATAAACAAAGCACACTACATGGTTAAGAGCTTGTTCCATACAAATGACCGTTTGTCATGGTAAGAAATAATGTATGAAGTACAGCAATAATGGTAGATAGTGGTTACAGAATAGAGAGTTGTGTAGTGGATTGTGGTCTAAGCACTACCCTACAACCCTCTAGTTAACAGCCCGTTGCAACCAGTGAATGAATAGAAGAGAGGCGACAGAGAACATGACCGCTTATTAGCGTCACGCCATCCATGTGTGTCTTAGCGTATGGATGAGTGAACGGATGACAGGCACTGGATACAGTAACCAATGAAAAGGGGATGTGTCATTGTCACCGTCAGGTCGGTAACAAGAGTTCACTCAGGCGCGTTCGCTGTTAATCCGCTACAGTTGTAAACGTTTAGAAAGGAATCACGTCAAGGTTGACAAATAAGTATCCCAATGAATACATCTATGCAACCCTGCTTGTTGAATATAAATGCAGCAGCAGAAAAAAAATTTAGTTTAAACAAATGGATTTACTCAGACTTTTATTTCAGAGAATTCGAGTGAGTGTCAACAGACAACACTAAAAGAAAATCGACGACATTTGATCAACTCGCGAAATTATCCATACGAAGTCTCACAAGCAAACACTAACGTTGAGTCATGTGACGGATTAGTCGATGGAAGGCACCCTAAAACATATTTGGAAGGTTATTTTATGGCGCGTGCTTTCCAATGCGTTACCTTTAATGCATGATAAGAATCTTCACGACTGTGAAAACTAAACTCTTGTAACTTCACGGAGTTTGCATTGATCAAAGCAAATTCGCAATATTTTCCAAACAAGATGATTCCATTCTTCAATCTACATGTGACAGAACACAAGATTACGGAATGATGCTGTGTTTTTATTAATCCCTATCTAACTTTGAACTGTAGGAGGCTTAATGCATTAAATTTCAAATGCGCTGTGGTGATTTTAAGTATTGTTGACAAAAAGGCAGCCTTGTACTTGCGCAAGGGGATGGATACATAATTTGCCAGTGTTAACATCAAACGCCTGCGAGGAATTTCTGTGCCACATACAATCACGTCCAGACTTGTTTGCGTTTAATGTACAGTGAAATGCTTTATTTCCGAGTTCCTTGTTCAAACCTTACGCCGCATCATAGGCTGAAAATTGAGTCCTACTACGTTCAGTTTAAGTAGATGGACATTTAATTTGCCATTAAGAAAAATATTGTGAAATACGTTCTGAAGTTGGCAATTCCTGATTATTGTACCTTGCCAAAATATCTGCCATTAACAAAAGACATCTGTTTTTGCAACCACAAAGCCCTATTTATTTCCATTAATTGAATCTCATCAACGGTCTGCCAGAAAAAAAATTTGAATTTTCAAGATACTTATTCTTTACCACCTCTCGATGTCATTTGTTCTCAATGTGTCATTAGTTTCATAGTTATCTTACCCATTTAGAGTTCAATTGATCGATTAGAGTATATTTCTTTGTATCCTCGGACTGAGCTAACCTGCCCTACGGCTAACATTTAAGTATTCCTATGTCAAAAAAATAATTTACAAGAGAGAAATGGTTTAATCTTTGAGACATTTAGTCTTAACCACCTCTTCCTAGAACTGACCTCCACGCACTCGTGCAAAAAGCTTTAATCACTTCTTGTCAAATGTGTCCACTAATTCGAATCTAGGCTGACCTTAACTTGATAAAAAGCCGAATACAACAGATGTCAGGTTACTAATGCAAATAATGACGAAAATCCGCAATGTGCAATCTGGGAAAACCTGGATCCCCAGAATTACCCCGAATTTAAACGGTTGACATCTTCCATGGGCAGGCACTGCTTTC